AATTTCTTTTATAAAATCCTTCGTGTACTAACTTTAAACAGAAAGTACAAATATATGTTCTAATAAAAAAGGATTAAACTGAATATACAGATGATGAAGTTACAGACCTTCTACAGGTCACTCTCACGGAGGTCGAGCCCACGCGGGACCCGATGCATTTAAAAATGGCCAAAAATAACACCGATCCCACCCATTGTGACTGATCTGTAAAACATCTGCAAGAATCCTCCCTGTAAGTGCAGCTCAGTCCAATAAAAAATCTCTTATTCACCCTCAAAATTTTGAAAGGCTTACACAAAGAAAAAAATGTCTTTCCATACCTAAATATTTCTCTCTTTCTTTAATATTGTATTTTCATCATATAATACCCTAAAGCTAGGATACAAAAAATTATATTTTTCTCCGTCTTCAAGATGCCTCTCTACTTTTTCATCATTTTCTTCTTTTTCTATGAAATGGTATATTAAAATATAATTTTGTAAGATTTTTCACTCTCTTCTTTTTCACAGTTTCCTCCAATTTTCATATAGAGGTATAATTTATATTTATGAAAAACCAAATTAATTTTGTAATTAATGTTTTTATATATTAGTTGGTTGTTTATTGAAACCAATTTTTATGAAAAATATATATTGGAATAATAGATTGATGGGAAATGTATGGTTGAAAAATAAGAAAAAAATGATTTACATGTAATATTATTTTAATGAAGAATATGTGATTGAAAAAAAAAAGAGGAAAATATATTTAGGAAAAAATGGGAATAAAAAAAAAGCTTCTATAACTTTCTACAGTTTTGAAAATATGGATAATTTCAAACATAGAGATTTATATTTTTTTTAATCACCAAACAAGCAAAATCAAAATTATCTCAAATTCACTAAAGTTGCTCTAGTAACGAGCAACAAAATCAAACTTGATTATTAATCACCAAACAAGATTGAAACCAGCCTTGTAGCGGAATTAATCCCAAATTCTTTTACAGAAGACCACTTGCTAGATTGTACACCTTCTACTACGTTTAAAGCATACCCAACAAATTAGCATTCAAATACCTTCCGAACTCAACTGAGTTGTATTCTTCAATTTGACTCTATACAAAATCCTAAGGGAACTGTACCAAACTGAAGGTCCACCACGATACTAAACCTATGCTGATTGATTTTTCTAGATTATGCACGACCCTGTAAGATGTATGATTAAAATCGTTTTCGTTCTTCTTGTACAACCTGCCCATCTCTGCAAACCTTCAATGCTCCAACTCCACCAAAGAATTCATAACCCTTTGAATCAAGGATAGACAAGGAGATGAGATTTTTTTTCAAATATCGAATATGTCGAACCTATCCTAGTGTTCTAAATGTTCCATCTATTAGCTTCAATCCTACCTTACCAATTCTAACAACCCGATAAGATGCATTGTTTTCCATAATTACAATACCTTTTGAAACTGTCTTATATGTAGTAAACAAGTTCTTATTAGGATAAATATTAAACGCATATGCTCAATCTAGGATCCCATCGACTTCAAGTTTAGATTTGGCATCAGAAATAGCCAAAAAGATCTTCATAACTCACATAATTCTCAGCGAGATTTGCTTTGCCTGAAGTATCTAATTGCTTACCATTCTGATTTGCAGCCAACCTATTTTTATTCTACAATTTGTAGTAATCATTCTTAGCCCTCGTTTGGCCCCCTTTAATTTTGATTATAATGAAAATGGAGGGAATAGTATTTTTTGAATGGTTGTATAATATTGAAAATTTTTTGATTTATATGTAATATTATTTTATTGAAAATTGAGTGGTTGAAAATAGGAGAAAAAAATTTAATTTAATTTGATGAGATTTAATGGGGCCAAACGGGGGCTTAATATGCCCCCTCTTCTTACAGTAAATTTTGAAGTTATACCTTAGTTTGCCCATTGCACAACCACCATCAAAGAACAAGGTCATATCTATGAACATCAACAATATGTTTCATCTCCTCCTTTGAAAATAGAGTACCATAGACTTCTTCAATAGTAAAATCATGAATATATAAGATTGTATCTTTAAAAAACAAATATGAAGCGGGCAAAAAGCACAACAAAATCAATTCTATATAAGCAACACTCTCGCCTTCTAATCTGCCACAATGAAAATCTTGTATCGTGATCCAATACCGGAACATCAAACTTCATGGTTGCCATTCCAAAAACAAAATTTCCCTATGAATTAAGCATGAGCTCAGGTACCACTTTTATAGTCCGGACTAGATCTGAAACTAGTTTGTTGTGAAAAGCGAAAAATGATATCGAATTAATCCAAGACCACTTTATTGGAAAAATAAGAGATTAAGCCACAATATGAAATAATTACTGGCAAGCAAAAGAATAATAAAAGACAAGAAAATATGGTAGAGGAGTTAGGAGATTTTATTATAATATGGAGAACTAAATAAAGATTTTGTGTTTATAATTTGTCTAACTTGTAATGAGGTTAAACGGCCTAACTAAATTGTAGAGAAGAATCAAATATATATAAAGAACAATTTAAGTCCTAGAAGTAAAGTTGTAGACAAAATTGAATGCCCAAAAGTTTTCTTATCTTGATTCCTTTAAGTCCAATACAAATTCCAACTCTCAATAGGACTTCCTAATAGAATTGCAACTAGATTTTGTCAAATAGGCTTCGAATAGAATTACAAAAACATTACAAATTTAAATTCCTCTTGATGTGCACTTCAATTAGAACTTTTGATTATCTTCAACAAAAAATTTGGATCATACAAATTCTAACATGATCATTGTGGACACCGGCCATCAAGTTATATAAAGAGAGACAAGTTTTCTCTAAAGCCCTTCTTGACAAATAATCATAATCAATCCAACATTCAATTGACAAAAACAAAACAATGTCATATTTTAAGGTCAGATCAATTATCTTAAGCCATATTAATGTTTAGTATGCATATCTAATCATTCTTAACGAACAAATCTTTGTTGATAGGCTCACAAAATCTTGTCCTTTCACTTGGATTCAGTAATAAAGTGTCCTGGATCTAGCCTATGACAGCATTTAATTTAATTACTAAAGCAGCAATTATTAGATTCATCAAACAAGCATATATGGAAGAAGATTATGGACAAATATCCTGATCCAAGAACCAATAATAAATAATTAATAGTAATTATTTAAAAAAGGTACCACAACCATTAACAAGACAAAGGAATCGACATTAAGCACAATAATTAATTCTTCTCGACTTCTTTAATTCTGTCGAGTCGCAATCTCAACATTTTTTCCGTGGGAGTTGTCGAGAAGGTCGATAAGGTAAAGAGCGTTACTAGTAACCCGAGCAACTTTCGTAATCTTCCTCTTCACGTCAGACCTAATAAATCCTTCAATTTCTTTGAACCCATCAAGACAAGTATTCTCATTTGTTAAAGCAGCACTAACCCATGTCTCGACGTTGCTCATGTGCCACCCGAAATCGCCACTCCGGAGGTGCTGCAGCTCCGACAGGGTTTCGGTCAGCTCATCCATGGAGTTCCCCATTAGCTCTATGCAGTCGCGTAGGGCAATTTGCTCTCTCTTGCTTTGGCTCTTGAGCTGGGCCAAGAAATTCGCAGCTGCCTTCGAGCGAGAGAGACTGACTTTCACTCCGGCTCTCGCAAGATTGCGCAGGGTGGTGGCGACGCCGGAGTAGGAGGAGAGTGTGCGGAGGCAAATCTTGGGGTAGCTAGCATGGGCACATGATGTGCGGACGAGGTCTGCATTGTTGTGGTTCTTGGCACAGGCTGAAATTAGTGAAAAGAGGAGAATGAGGAAAGATAAGTTGAAAAGGCTTCTCATTTTGTTAGCTCTCTTAATAGTCCAACTATATGGTGGTGGTGGGCCGGTGGCAGAGGCGGTGGCGGCTACTGTGTGCTATTTGTCTTCAATGTGAGAGAGCGAAGAAGGGTAGTTTTCTTGGCGACTTAAATAAACGTGAGATCGGCTGAGGCTTCCTATTTTATCATTAATATAAGCATATTAAATATAATAAAAAGTATCATTTATTTAAAAATTTCTAAAGTAATTTTAATCAATTTTCTCACATTTCGATTTTTTATCTTATTTATTATTTTTATGTTCATTTTTTATTTTGACAATTTTTTTATTTTTTGGTAGCCATTTCAAGAATAAATAATACTAGTAATTTTTTCAAAATACTCCAAATTTTCTTTAAATTTTATAAAAATTCTAATTGATTTGACATATTTCGTGAAATTATGCTCTTGTATATATTTTAAAATAATGATTTTTTGGAGAATGTGAGGTTAAAAAAGAAGGAAAAATTTTAAATTTATATGTAATATTATTTTATTAAAAATATTAAAATTATAATGGAGTTTAAATCAGAGCTATAATGTTTTCCCTCTCTCTTTCTATTTTCAGTTGTACATTAATACAGTAAATAAATGGGACATAAATTGTGTAAAAGAAGTGACAGATCTTACAATTACAATCTTTTCTTTTACAATTAGACTATGATAGAATTTAGAATACGTGTCACTTAAAATAACAATTTTATAAGGGTTAATCATTTTATTGATAATTATCAGAGAAAATGCGCCCTCGTGTCGAACTATTTAAAGAAGGAAAAAATCTTACAATTTGTATACATTGATTTTCTTTTATTTTTCACAATTAAAATATAATTAAAAAAATTAGATTTGTTTATGATTTTAGCAGTGCAATAGGAAAAAAAAAAAATAAATAAATTTTCATGTTATTTCTTCTTTTCTTCACTTGAGCTATATATAAAATTCAAAATCTTTGTTGACCTTTGCTAGCTAGATCTCCAAACCTCTTATGAATTCAAATATTTAGTCACTGGCTCAATTAATAATATAGGACCAAATAATTTATTTTCTAATTTATTTTATAGAATGTGGATGAACATTGTAATAAAGTTAAATTGGTAAAATTTTATGTACTCAATAAAACATTTAAGGGTGATGTTACTTGTACACTTTTGGTGTACATAATGATTTGAATTTTTCTACTTCGACAACTCTCTATCCAAATAGGGGACGATGTCAAATAATCAGTTAATAGGAGGGCGCCATATTGAGTACAAGTATACTACAGTTTTAATGGTTTACATTCCCTCACATGGAGGGTCGCCTGCATATAATTATATTGTATGTGAGCCTCCTTCATATAAGGGGATTGTCAACCTTGTGTACATTTAGCATAATCCAACATTTTGATTTGTGCATGCTCTTTAGCAAACTATTGTAGACCGCAAGTTCTCAATGAAGAATTCAAATCACTCGTATTAATCATACGATATTCTTATAGCTGATATTATATCTCATCTGTCAATATAAGATCGTTAATCTATGTAAGAGAATAAACTCGAACTTAAATAATACATTGATCCCACAATATATTTCATATTGAAAAATCGACAACTTTTATACATTTCATCCTCTACTCACATGTTAAGCATCGTTACATTTCCGGCCTATCATTTTTTAAGATTTTCGGTAAGTAGTAGTCCATCAACATCATCTATGTTATAAGTTAAACTTGCCCCCAGGGCATATCTCCCAGTGGCAAAGGGAAGGGCGGATAGGGCTCAGCACGGCAGTGTGCAGAGTTCGATTCCCCGTAAGGTGGAATTGGCTTTGTTGCAAGCGGGAGTTACCATATGGGTTAACAGTCTTGGCCTATCCATGTGCTCTCCACCCTGGCTCCCAGGAGGCACATCCTGCGATTTACCTCCTCCACAATGGCCCAGGGAAGAGTCGGTGGGGGCCCTTAAGGTTGGGGTTCAACCTTTTTTTTTAAGTTAAACTTAATCGAGACCATACTGATAGCTGTTCTTCAGTCCACTTTTAGTTCTGTCCCTGCACGAGATCTATGTATATCCTAAACTATACCCTACCTAGTATAGATGTGTCTTTTCATCTTCTATTGCTGGAGCATATGTTCCTGGTATAGCGTGGATCTTGACTCAGCTGCTGCTTCTTGAACATGCAAGTCCTATTAGCATTGTGAGGTCATAAATGTAGCCATCCCATACAGCTTTCATTTGCTCATCACTTAGCTGTCCAATTGCATTTATTTGAATTTATATGATTTTCTTTACTTAGACAAAAGCATTTATAGGTTTCCCTCAACTGGGGATAATTGGGTTATTTTGGATAAGCAATAGCTTCTGTCATTCTATTGGTAGGTTTGTATCTAATTTTGTTTTCAGCCCTTGTTTGAGCCATATGTTCACCCACAAAAAATGAGAATTCCGATCATTGGAGACCAATTTCAGCCACCATATTTGACTTTATCTCTCTTAGGTGGGACTCGGGTTTGAAAATAACGGTCAAATTTTTTCTACTTTCTTCCTTAAAAATATGGCTCAAACAAGGACTAAGTATCACGTTTATTCATTGATTTACGTGTCATGTGATCATTAGTTTAGAAATCACACTTTAAATGTTTGCATATGTGTCGTCTAAATAACGGCTTCTTGGATGGCTTGGCAGAGAGACTGGCTTCCGCTACCGCTTGTGCGAGCCTTTTTGACCTTCACATATTGCTTACATTGTGAACTGGGGATGAGCTTGCTGAGTGAATTTCTTGATTCAACAACTAAAACTTTTGAAAAAATTAAAGTAGTGGTTGGTTTGCATTTTCATTTTCAAAACGATTTTTAGCTTTTCCTGAAAACGACCCATTTTCTGCGTTTTGAGCGTTTTCTACATTTATAACTGAAAACGATAAAAAGTCGTTTTGCGTTTTCAGTTATAAATTTTAACTCGTTTTCGAAAACGATGGATCAAACACGTTTTTCGCGTTTTCAAAAACGAAAAATGGGCCGAAACCAACAAACCAAGCACGATATAAAACTTTTGAAAAATGTTCACAGATTCGACTGTGTATAATTGAGGTTTTGATCCTTTTCTCATCACACCAGTCGAAGGAAACTGTACGAGAAAGGAGTTGGTCCATTTGCACATGCTAGACTGGAAAGTACCTTTTAAATCGTTATATAATAGAGCATGACATGTGGGAGTTGCAGGAGGCTGCCAGGAGCAGTGCCCTCTCTTCCCCACATAAAGTGCACTAAATTACTTATTTTTGAGATTTTTTTTTTGTTTTTTTTGTTTTTTTTGTTTTTGTTTTTGTTTTTGTTTTTTTTTTTTTGGGAGGGGAGGGGGGGTGGTTGTTGGAAGTGAAAAATGATATAATGTAAGAATTGTTAAAAATAGCAAATGGGCAAAAAATTGTGTTGGCTAAATTGTATATGGGATTTCAAATCTACTGAAAAATTGCTGTGACGCCTTAAACTTTTAATTATATCACCATAGTTTAAACCTTAAATTTATTACGCAATGAGAGATGATTTGGACAGAAGCCATCCAAAGGGGAAAATGCCATATGTAAAAGGGTATGATTTTACACAATTTTTACAGAACATTCTATATGATTAAAATATTGTCAAAAAATATTATCCCGCTCATTCTCTATGTGTGTGTCTTATACAGACCCGGTGAAGTAGGCCTGTACCTGTAGCTCTGTCCATTCTAAGGATTGTTAGTTGACCAAATTATTAAGGATTGACCTTCATTTGACCATTAAAAGGAAAGGCAAAATGATCTTTCATGTTTAATTAACTAAAAAAAATTAAGTCATAAAAAAATGGAAAAGACAACAAAAGGATCTTCCCCGCCCGCCCCAATATCAGGATTGCAAGCAAAAATCACATAACTGAAAAATTAATCCAAGTTTATTTTTTTCCACGATGGTATTCAGGTTGAATTTTTTTTTTCTATAATTAACATAATTTAATTAATTAGATATTTGCTCAATATAGCAATAAATAATTAAGAATGTATATATATATATATATATATATATATATATATATATATATATATATATATATATATAATTTGAAAAATTAAGTTTGGTTATTGGTTCAAGAATTAGAACCGGACCACAATCAGAATTAAATAGTTCTCAATTGTAAGTACCAAAACTATTAATTTTTTTCGTAGAATCGAATCGAATCACCCGGTTTGGTTTGATAATTTTGTCCACCCTTACCTACCATGAATATCCCATGCCATTTGGCATATACATAGTACTATAATCCCAAGCCCAATTTCTTAAAAGTAATGTTATTTAGCATCTTTGGCATTAAGCATCAGTTTAGGTGACAACTAAGTGATATTAAATGGTATATTCACTTAAATGTAGTGCCACGTGATTTATTTAATTGAACCGTTCGAGTATAGCTACCTAAATCGATGTTCAAATGCAATGCCTCTCACGTACTTGATAATTCACCTTACTGTCTCCAAATGCAATTTACTTGACTTGTTTATATATCTACGCAACAACTTGTAATGCAAGTACTATGTCTGATCTTGTCATACATAAGATTGTCAAATCATAGACATAAAGTACCTTCACTACGAAGGCTCACTCCTGCTTTGTAAAGCGTGATCAATCATTTGATAGCCTGAAGTGATTAGCCAAAGGAGTATTCACTGATTTTGAATCATTTACCTTGAACATGCTTAGCACATTTTATAGCCTTTTTAAGACGTCACTCTCTTAGTAATTCTCATTCCAATTATTTGTTTTGCAACACTTAAATCCTTCACTCATTTGGTGACTCATTTTTCAACTTATCTATTTTTTGTTTCCAAATACTTGCAATTAACATGTCATCAATATATATATAGAAAAAAAGCCTGTTTGGCCAAGCTCAAGGCCAAGCGACCCCCTATTTTTTGGCCTGGCCTTGAGCCTGGCCAAAAAGCAGGTCTTATATGTAGAAAATAGCAATGTTCTTCACATACCAACAATGATCGCAAAAAAAAGCCTAGCCAAAAAGTAGGTCTTATAGGTCTTATATATAGAAAATAGCAATGTTCTTCACATACCAACAATGATTCACAAAAAAAAAGCCTAGCCAAAAAGTAGGTCTTATATATAGAAATTACTAATGTTCTTCACATACCAACAAT